CCGTAATTTCAGGGGAAAAATCACTACGAAAGCGTTTCATTTGCGTGAAGACAGAGCCAAGAGATTCAGTTGTGGATGCTGTCGGAGAAGTTATAATTTTAAACAAACAGAAGAAAACGCCTAGAGATTTTACGTTAGCAGGGTGAGTTATATCGTTATTGTGAACCTTGCGTTCATGAACAAAAGATGCGTATCGACCGATCTTACTCTTTCGCTCTTTTTGTTCTTCACATGCTCTTTTAGTGAAGTAGATGGAGCTATGATATGCTTCCGAGTCGTGGTCGTTCCGCCGTCGTTTGGTCTCAAACATAGTAAGAGGTATGATATAGAGTTTTTATCCGATTTATTTATTATTAGTCTTCGTCAGATGCATAGAGTTCATCTTGTTGGTACAACCTATGTATGCCTTACCATTCACTTTCGTTCAGTGATCATGCCATAACGAACAGCGGCGGACTACAACCACCTCCACCTATAGGACTTTATCCTCAGCTGGGACAGTCTGGATCAACTCCCGCCCTGAATACGAAGCCTGGTGTAAATATGTTTACTATAAAGGTTGTGTGCTGTGTTATTTCCTCTCGTACTTGCCGTGTTTGTAGTTTTTTTTTCCATTGCATGGATTTCTATTTGCAATGCTTATCAATAATTATGTTTACAGAACCCTGCTGTGGCGAAAGTTCGAGGTGAAGATGGCGTACCATTCAAGTTGAATCCACAACTTGCCTCAATACTGAAGGCTCCCACGGTACGTCTCAACTAATCAGTGGTTGTGCTTCATTCAATTTTTGGTCTGAATGCACTGGATACTACGACATCATTTGATGATCGGTTTAAGCCGTTTTGGTGTATCATCTCTTGTTTGGGCTGTTCTTAGGCCCTGGCCAGACTTCGCTCAAAAGCGCCCAAAGGCACCCATTTCCCTAATTACTCTTCAATGTCTCGTGCGAGGAGACATGAGAGGTTTTGAAAAGAGGGTGGAAGTTTGGGCGCTTTTGAGCGAAGTCTGGCCGGGGCCCTATAAGATGCCAGAAAAGCACACTGATGATCACTCAAATTCCTAAGTTTACTAGTATATGCTAGTCTTCTCCATGACTCTC